GGCGCGGCTTGGCGCCGCGCGCGCTCCTCGAGACCTCGAGACACGAATATAAGGCGCGAAAAGTTCCGAGACGCGGGCAAGAAAGAGGGCGAGAACGAGAGCGAAAGCGAGAGAGCGAGAGAATGCGAGAGAGAGAGAGAGAGAGAGAGAGAGAGAGAAAGAGAGAGGGAAAGAGGGAGAGAAAGAAAGATTTATAGCAGCTCACTCCGCCGACATCGTTTCCCGATGAGGCGAGGGGGGCGCACGCGATTTCGCGTTATCCGATTAATGGCGGCTCGAAGGAGGCGCGCGTTGCCGCCTCCGCGGTGTTTACCGAATTACGGGATATTAATCAGTATCAGAGCGATTAATCGCCATCCGGTATTCGGCCGGCGCGGCGCGCTGAGATATTTCACTTCGATGAAAAGGGACGCCGGGGTTTTTGTCCCGACATAGCACCTCGATCAGGAGAAAGGGAGAAAGGGAGAGGGAGAGAGAGTGAGAGAGAGAGAGAGAGAGAGAGGGGCAAAGTTACCCCTCTCCTCCCCGCGCCCATCGAGTTTCCCATTCGCCCAAAGAAACCTGTCATTAACGTAACGAACGATTCTTGTTGTTCACCGCCGGCGAAAGCGTTTATTTCCACGTGGCACTAAATCTAAGCTTGCTTTAGGAGAAAGAGGGAGAGAGGGAGAGAGAGAGAGAGAGAGAGAGAGAGAGAGAGAGAGAGGAAAGGAAAGAGAGAGGAGGGAGCAAGGGCGCGCGGTAACGACGGCGACGGCGGCGCGCCGAGCCACGGCTCGAGGAAACAATCCCGCGTTTTCTTTTGCTCATGGCCGAGTAAGCCGATGCCCCGAGCCACTAATCACAAGGGAATTACTCGTAGGAAAAAGCTCCCCCTCCCACCCCCGACCAACCCCCAGGCCAACATGCGCCGTCGAATCGGAAGATTGTAGCAGCGCGCAACAGCAGCGCGCGCGCGCGCGGATATCCGATTCTTTCGATTCGCCGCGAAACGAGAGCCGTTTAACGTTCCGTTCGCTCTCGCAAAGGGCGGCGAATGAACGAATTACAAATTCGAGACGCGGCGGGTGACACGCTGACGACGCGCGCTCGTCGTGCTCGTCATCGTCGTCTCCTTCTCGAACGAGAACGAGCGTCGCCAAATCGGACGGACGGCGATCACTTACGTAACAGTGCGTCGAGACGGTCGCGCGAGTAGGCAATTCCGAAGAGCAGCTTCTCGGAACAAGTTAGGGGAATTGTCAGAGACGGTGGTTCGTTAAGCGAGAGAGATAGATGGGCGGAGGGGGAGAAAACGGGAAGGCGAGGTCGCGGGGTCAGCACGAGGTCGCCGCTCAAGTGCCTCGTATTTGGCATCGTACCGCTCGCTCGCTCGCTCGCTCGCTCGCTCGCTCGCTCGCTTGCTCGCGGAGGGTTGCTTGCGTTAAGTCGTAACTACGCTCGGAGGCGAACTCCGTGTGTAACACGACCGAGTCTACGGCAACGACAATAATGACGGCGGTGGCGGCGGCGGACGCAAAACGCGGCTCGCCGCAGATTGCGCGAGAAGAGGCCGACCTCCTCCTCCACTTCCTCCTCCTCGTTCTCCTCGTCGTCGTCGTAGAATGGAAACAAGTCCGTGTCCGCTTGTACTCTCTCTCTCTCTCTCTCTCTCTCAGACAGGTGTGCGCAAATTTGGCGCAAATAAAACTTTACTTCATCGATCCGCGAAAGTCGCATCGCTGTATATCGTCACGTAGAAACGCGAAAGAAAGGCGAGAGAAAAATTGCCGAGATTTTCCCCGAACGATATTTCGTTTGCGCGCAGAAACAGGTGCACATTAATTTGACAGCAACTCCGTACCGGTCCATTTGTGGAGGCTGCGGCCTCATGTGCGGAGTCACACGACACACTCATGTATTTGTTATCAGGTAAAATGACGAAACGGAAACACGAAGAGAATTATGAAAATTTGATCAGACAACGCCATGTCGCTGGGTCGATACAACGAAAGAACGCTGCGTAATGCGCGACGTAAAATCACTCAAGGACTAATTCAATCTGGTCTATCCACTTTGTAAACGCGATTGGAACAATCGTAGAGTTTCCACCATCTATTACCTGACTTCGTGATAATCATCAAGGTCTATCCGCGAAGTACACCCCCTCTTTCTCTCCCCTTCCCGCGACGTGCGACCTGCTCCCATTTAAACGCGATCCTCAAAGGTCGCGAAGATATATCCGCTGATTGATTCGGCCGAGCGATAGTCGGCCGCTATCGGCTGACGTTATCGTAGGTAAGCCGGCGTTGCGGGCGCGATGTCTCGAGTGGGTATGCTTGATTCATGGACACACGATATTGTTCTCGATCGTGTCGCCACAATGTGCTCGCCGATGTTTCCGATCAGTGCGCAGCAGCGTGCACACGTTCGCTCGCTCGCTCGCTTAGTACTGCCGGCCGAATGGATGTCGACCCAGATCGGAGGGAGCTAAATTACACCGTGTGTCCACATCCGCGGCTACGGGAGATTTGTGGTTTGAAAAAGCGAGGTTGGCGGGGCGGGGAGGGGCGCGCGACGAGAGGAGCGCACGCGGAAATCTGGGTCAATTCGTGCGGCAGAGGCGAATCGCGAAATTAATAAACAGCTTCGATGCGAAATAATTTCGGAAATTCGTACAAACTCGATAATGAGTCGACCTCCTCTCTTTCCCACCCTTTCTTTCTCTGTCCCTCTTTCTCTTTCGCTTCTGTCGCAACGCGACCCGCTCTTCGGCCCTCTTTCGCGACTGAAGATTCTAACCCCCTCGACAGATTTATTCCGTCCTTTGACGCTTCGATCTACAATTTCGACGAAGAGTCTTTTTCCCAATTTCTGACGTCCAATCTTTCGACAAAATTGCACGTTCCGTGAAAGCATTTCTTGCGGCAACGTCCGCGCGCGATCACGATACCCCGCTATCGCATGCTTCGCCGCTCTCTTTCCCTTTCTCTCTCTCTCTCTCTCTCTCTCTCTCTCTCTCTCTCTCTCTCTCCTTCTCTCTCTATCCCTATTCTTCTCATCATTAGCACGCAGGATCGCCACAAACGCACGCAACGTTAACGTCGGATAAATAGCGTGCGTCGAAGAAACGCGGTAATATACAAGCGATACGGTAAATGGATCGCGAGCGGTGTAGCACGTCGGGACGCCACGTTGACCGATAATTGCGTCTTTCGTTCTCCACCCGTGCGGCACGACGACCCGCACTACGCCCCCGCGACTTACCGCAACGATATATATTTCGGAACGACGCTGCCATTTACACGAGCGCCCTTCGATGCCCTCCTGCCCTCCCATCCGCCCTTGAGTCTCTGGACCGCGTCGACGTGCGTCGCTCGTCGGACGAGAGGAACCTCGTCGCCCCACCGCGAACCATGAAGAGCAACACCGTAGAGGCGCCGGAGGCGGGGAGGGGGGGGGATGAAGCGCCGCGGAAAACGAGCCCTCTGCGATGCGTTTCTCGCGCTTCGGCTCGCGTGCTGCTTCTTTGCCCAGCAACTTTCGCGGCGGAGCGATCGCGCTTTGGCGAAAAATTAATTCGACGCCCCTCCCTTCCCTCCTTGCCCTCGACTTAGCTTAGACGTTCCTTTTCTTGCCCCTTTTCTTCCCTCTGTTCTTCTCCTCCCCTTTTGCCCGTCGCCGCAACTTTTTAATATTCAACTTGAAATAAGTTTGTAACATTTTGAAATTAAAATTTCGAGTCGGTAGTTAAAATTGGTTGCTCGGTCTCTCTGTGGCTTTCTATTTTTATCCCGCTTCCTTCTTTTCCCCCGCATTTTTTCCCCCACCGATGTATTACGTATATCAAACTTTCCGTCGTTAATAATAAGAGTTAATGTTTTTGCGCTCGATGGAACTCGCGTAAAGGGGTGAAAAATTAATTTCGCCATTACGCGAGGCCAGAATTGCGGGATTAGCGAATCGCGCTCCTCCTTGTTTTCTACCTATTCTTTTTCGCCCTCCTCCCTTCGATAACTTCGACCCTCGCGTTATTCCGCGCGCAGGCGAGCCGTGCCGTTACATCGCTTATTTATAGCAAGCATGTAAATTTTATATATTAATTATACCGACGGCGCGAGAAAAAGAGAGAGGGAGAGAGAGGGGGGAGGGGGGAGGGAGCGGGATAAAGCGAAAGAGCCAGAGACTCGCGTAATATCGCCCCACTGCTGAAACATTTTATTCATTTTGCAAAGTGTGTACACACATAACTACGTAGGGGTAATGAAGTCGTATTCATACTCACTGCGTGGGCAGTATATTTACAGCAACAGCGAGTAGAAACAATGCAAAAACCACACCGCTTCGACGCTCGAGTGGGGAAAAAAAATCTTGATTACTCCACTCGCGTTTCGCACACCACCGTCTCGCGACTGTGCAAAAATTCCGTTTCGTGTTCGCCGTCGCGTCTCTCAGCCTTTTCCCACTCCTCTCCTCTTCCTGTCTGTATTTCACTCTGCTCCTTTTCGCGTCTCTCAGACTCGAGTATCAAACTATAACCTCTATAAATTAAGGAGACTGCGTTTCGCGGCAACTTCAGAGTGTCGGCGCGCGTCTCGAGAACGCATCTCAAATTCACCGAACGCAAACGCCATCTCCGGGTATTTGTTTACGATACGTACTAAGGTCGAGAGGAAGAGAAAGACAGACAGACAGAGTGAGAGAGAGACAGAGAGAGAGAGAGAAGCAGAGAAAGAGAGACAACGAGGGAGAGTGAAAGCATCCACCTTAAGCATCCACGCGCGCGTTCGGCAGCTGAAGGGTTAAAGTCGACGAAGAGAAGCGAGAGAGAAAGGTCGCGTAGCGCAGCGCAACTTAGCGCAACACGTCGCGAAGTTGCTGCGAGAGGAGAAAGAGAGAGAGAGAGAGAGAGAGAGAGAGAGAAAGAGCAAAGCGAACGGACCGCCGGCGAGACTCGCGGCGCGTTTATACGGGCGGCAGTTTAGTTCACGGTGTCGCCACGGGTCACGGTGGCGCTGCGCCGCCGGCGCGATCCTCAGTCTGTTACGGGGTCGTGAGGGGTACGCATTGCTCTCGTCGATTGGCCGTACCCGAGCTCTCTCCCGAGAGAGAACGAGAGAAGAAGGGAGAGAGAGAGAGAGAGAGAAAAAGAAAGAGAGAGAGAGAGAGAGTGCGTCGAGACGCGCGAAAAGCACACGCGCGCTTGACAGCGCGAGACGCGTGGACACGAGTGGTAATCGAGTACGAGAACATTTTAAATAGCCGGTCGCCGTGTTGCTCGATGCGTGACAATTCATCGCACGAAAAGTCGCGGTAAAGAGGAGGCGGAGAAGGAGGAGAGAAGAGAGTGCCTGTGTGCTCGGTGAGATGACGGCGACTTGTGAATTGCGATAACGGGCTGGCCAGCGGGGTGACAGTGCACTTGGCGGCGACAAGAAGGAAGGAAGGAAGGAAGGAAGGAAGGAAGCAAGGAAGGAAGGAAGGAAGGAAGGAAGGAAGGAAAATCAGCGGCGAGAGACGACACTGCGGCACGCGTTGACGGAGTAGACAACGACGACGACGACGTACGTTGCTGTCACTAAAGGTGAGTGCCTTTTACCATTACAAGTGAGAGCACTGCAGCACAACACGTCGGACTATTGTCGCACGTGAGAAAATGTGCGTCTCGGAACGTGCGCCCGACGCGCCGAATTCCGCCCTCGAATCCTCTACTCTCGATGTTGCTAATTAGCCGGCCGGATCGGCCACTCGTCGTGCGTGCTCCGGCTTCATTAATTTCGGTAACGCGAGATCAGACGCATCGTCTGCGACGGGGAGATTAACGAAGGGGAACGATCACAGCCGGCGCCTAACCTCGCGAACACGCAACGCTCGATTTCTCGAAGATTCCACGCGCGGAGCAATTTTTCGCGACGAAGACGCGAAAGAGAGAGAGAGAGAGAGAGAAAGAGAGAGAGAAAGAGGGAGAAAGAGCGGAAATTCCCCTCGGCGCGTTTTTATGTTTACGTTCGTACAACTCGTTCTCCGAGGAAGCGACAGATAGAAAGAGCGTCTCTTCGACGCTCTTCGGCGCTGAGCAGAATGATCGATTCCGAATCGTCTTGCTGCGGAATTGCGACACGCGTCGCAATCGACGCGGCATCTCACAGGCTTTCAACTCTTCGAAGAGGACCGTTGCATCAGCCGTACGAAATTCCTCAACGATAAAAAAGCAGTATAATCAAATATTCTTCTCGACCGTGTAAGAGAGCGAGGCAATCGACCGTCACCTTGATAGGTGACTCGCGGGGCTCGCGTGATCCTCGTGATCGCCGAGTGACCTCTACGCGAAAACACGCTTGTCGGCTGCTTGTTCGCGATCTGTTATCGCCTGTGTATCGATGCGTGTCCATGCGCTAATCGCGCGAATCGACCGGCAATGCGATAATCACGCGACTCTTTCTGCACGTCGAGACGCGACGCGACACGTCGAGACGCGACGCGACACGTCGCGACACGTTGCGACACGTTCGGGCCACCGCCGCTCGGCGAGAGCTTTATGCCCGACAATTTCTCGGCAATTGAGCAACTCCGCCGGCAGGCAATTAATAATGCGGCCTCTCGCGAGATAGGGGTGAGAGATAAAGCAGGCGCGCAAACGAGCGAGAGAGAGAGAGAGAGAGAGAGAGAAGGGGGGGAGGGAACGGGTTATCGAGGCCTGCTCGGGGAGTGAAATGATCGCGGTAGTGACAATGCGCAAAGTATATCCGCGATTTCGTGCGGGGGTAGGAGAAAGAGGGTGCCGCGGCGCGCCGTGTACGATTGTGGAGCGGAAGTTGTTCTCAGCGATTTTCACGCGAGTTTCGAAACAAATCTCGTGTCTCGGAACGAATTCCACGGGAGGACCGACAAGTTCTCCCCTCGGACCGAGCGCCGATACGTTCCGAAACTTGCGCGAAAAACGCCAGCCGACCTCTGCGTACCGTCGCGTCACTCACAAGGCGAGGATAACGGAGCGGAAAAGAGATCTCACGCGTTCACGGGAGAATCTCCACGTTGCTGAAGTGAAGCAAAGTCGCACGGATCCGCGGAAATTTTCGGGAGGAGCGGTTCTCTCTCTCTCTCTCTCTCTCGCGCGCGCGCGCGCGTGCAGCGAAAGTTCAGCGGAAATCTACGACTGGAGCAACCACGCCACTGGTTGCTTCCGGGCGGTAACTAATTCTCGTCACGTAAGTTCACGGGTGTATATGAGCGTGTACACGTGCGGAGTGTACACACGTTGCGAGCAGAACGATCTCTGCAGCGTTGAGCGATTTTTCCAGCTGATTGCTCGATCGATCGTTCGATCGGCTCGCAGGCGTGATGCCGTGGTCCGCTTTGAATTTGTAATCGAAATATCGCAAATAACGGACGAGCCGGCGCGAAAAAGAGAGGCGCGGGAGGGCGAAATAGCGAGCGTATTTCCCTGAGTTTTAATTCCCGCGTAATTGTCGGTCATAACATTTTCGCGATAAATTCGCCGCGTAAATAATTAACCTGGCGCAAAATCGGCCCGCACGTTCCGCGCTCGCTCGTGTGTTCGGCGTCGAAATAGGTTCCCTTTGTGAGCGTAGCGCAAATTGCAGCGGCGAACCCGGCGTAATATTTCGAAATTGTGTAAATAGCGCGCCACGCAGCGCTGCGCGCCCTCGCTCGCAGCCCCGTATTCATATATCGCGCGAACGGCTCACACACCACCGTTAAATAATTCTATCACTTTAATTAGCGAAGTTTATGGCGGCGCTTCGGCGCGACCGGTAAGAGAGCCAAGGAAACGAAAAACGAAAGTACGCACGTGCTCCTCGACTCGCGTTGTCGCTACTCGCTTTTCTTCACCCTCCCTCTCTCCTGCCCTCCTGCGCTCAGCACCCTCGGGGGATGATGTACGGGGGTTACGCGGATTGTTGTAAATATAGCGCGTCGGACAGTGACTAAAGGCGAGAACATCAATCAGCAGTCGCGCGAGCCATTGTGCTCCGCGCGGGCCTGATAATAAATAGCGCCTTCCGTTCTCGCTGGTTATAATTCCTCTTCCCGATTGGCTCTCTTTCTCTCGCGTCTTGTCGCTCTCTCGTCTCTCGCACGTCTCGCCCTTTTTCTACCACTTCTCCTTCTACTCGGCGACGCGCAGCGATCGCGCGAGCACGGACGCGCCTGTCTAGACTCGGTGCTGCGAACAGGTGTCTAACTACCGACCTGCCGTTCGTACTCTATGGCTATAGCACCGTGTGCGAATGTGCACAGAAAGAGGAAGGGAGAGAGGGAGAAAGAAAGAGAGAAAGAGAGAACGGGAGAGCGAGAGAGTAGGTGCCTTTATTGTAGCTTTATTGTACTTCTTGCTTCCTGCGGGTCGCTCGAATCCGTACAATTACACGTTGAACTGCGACCGTAGGATAGCGGCCGCAACTCGCCTGTCTATCGATTAACCATTAGCGAAATTAATGGCGCCCGTAGACAATAGAATAGCACTATAAAGCTTAAGAAAGCGAATTAGATACGAGACACCCGTGCAGATTGCGCTAGTCGCGCGTGTTTATGTCGGTTTACGTGATCTGCTTTCAATGAAGCACACCAGCAGGAGAGAGAGAGAGAGAGAGAGAGAGAGAGAGAGAGAGAGAGAGAGAGAGAGAGAGAGAGAGAGAAAAGGTAGACAGGCGTGATGGGAAGGAAGGAAAGAATGAAAGAACGGAGGAAGGAAGCTACCTGTACCGCTTCTAATTAATTTCTCCGGGGGAGTCGCGCGCGCGGAAAGCATTCGCTCGCTCGCGAATAAACGTGCTGCTGGAGAATTCCATGCGACTTCTCAGTCCTCGCTCTTGTCGTCGTCGCCGAGGACGCGCGTCGAACGAGCATCGCGAGGTACGGGGTATTACGTAGCGTTCGCAGAAATTACATCTCGACGCAGAGAGAAAAGGGGAGAGAAAGAGAGAGAGAGAGAGAGAGAGAGAGAGGGAGAGAGAGAGAGAGAGAGAGAGAGAGAGAGAGAGAGAGAGAGCAGGCTGACACACTCGGGGGTCACTCGCGCCAGGCACTCGTCTCGCAAACCGGCAGAATGTTAAACAAGCGCGATGACAGTGCTCGCGCCGTTTGTCGGCGAGGCTATTCTATACGTGGCGCGCCGCTTCCGCCGCCGCCGCCGCCGCCGCCGCCGCCGCCGCCGCCGCCGCCGCCGCCGCCGCCGTCAGCTCGAGAGCGCGGCGTCGCGCCGCCGCATGCGCCGCTCAGTTCAGTTTCGAAGTTTAATTAAAAAGGCGGAGTCGCGCAATAAGGTCCTTCCACCCTTTGGTGGCTGGCCGGTAACCCTTACCCTTCACCCTGAGCGCCCGCACGGCGAACCGCCGCGCCGCTTTTCTCGCCCACTCGTCGGCGCGCTCGCGTGTTCGAGGAGCTATTTTAATTTCATTCACGGGAAATAAACAGTACAATGGAATTAACGTCGACAAGTGTGTGTGTGTGTGTGTGTGTGTATGTTCGAGCGAGACAGTGAGCGAGTGAGCGCGTGCCTTTGATGCGTGCTACTCTCGAAGTGTATATTTTTGGTGCAAATGGCACGCGCGCGCACACACACGCACACGCACACGTACCCTCCCGCGTTCTCGTCTCTCTTTCTCTTTCCCTCTCTTCCTCTCCCCCCCCCTCCTCCTCTTTCTCTCTCTCTCTCTCGTTCGTTCGTTCTGACATTCGTAGCGGTTGATGGTTCATTTTCAGGAGGAGACACGGACGCGCGATAAAAGCGTGGAAATCGGGCGAGCGGTTGAAAATCAACGTGCTGATACCGCGCGAGTGTTCTCGCGTGCGTTTTCCGTCTTGCGTGTTCCGTCTTGCTTGATTAAAATTAATTACCGCATTTTTAATCACGTGCCGCGAGCGACAAAATGGAATTTTATCGCGCGACGGCCTTTTCGCGATTCGAGCGATCGTACAATACCCGCATCGCTCTGTACGTTATCGCATCGACGAATGACAGGGAGGAAGAGAGGAAGAAGGGGAAAGAGAGAAAGAGAAGAGCGGTTTTAACATAATTTCGTAAAATATGGAAATGGTGATATAATATATGAAATTACTTTAACCATCCATCCATCCATCGGCTCACAAGAGTCGTCGGGACGAAAACTCGGAAAATTCTGCGGCGATTCTTTTCGGTCGAGGGGAAGCCGACCCACTCGAGTGGATGTTCAGCAAACCGCGGGATTGAGGTGGCTGTTACTCTCCCCTTCCCACCTCGCCGCCCATTCGCCAAAGCGCTCCGATCTTTGATTAAGAATTCAAGCGGAATAAGTCGAGTCTCTGATAGAAGGTTGCCGAATTTTCGACGGCTCGACAATCCCGTCCTCGCGAAATTTCGCCGTGGCCGCGTATATTTCGAGGTGATTCTATTCTCTCCATTTCTCCCTCCCTCCCTTCCCCCTTCTCTCTCTCCCTCCCTCCCTCCCTCTCTCTCTCTCTCTCTCTCTCTCTCTCTCTCCTTCTTTTCCTTTTTCTCATTTTTCCGATAACACACACGCGTGCATGCTATCGCGGGATATGTAAACTCTCGCGTTAAAAGATAAACACGAAAGTGCATTA